TGTTTTCAGAGGTGATCTCTAGGCACTGGCCAGAAAGAGACTGATCCATATGAGATGAAATCCAATTCAATAAAGTCAAATGTACTGATTAGAAACCTTTGACATCAATATATATCACAAAGAATTTATGCCGTATTTTACTTAATATAAGTAAGTAAGTAAAGGACCCTTTTCCACGCCTTTAGGCATATAGGGCTAGACCTATATTTTATATACCAATTGGCACTAGATGGATGATGTGGTCAGCATCACGCCAGCCACCTTTACTTCCCAGGACTGCACCCGGTATCCACTCAAAGCTGAGTCGACCTAGAAGCCAAGGTCATTTTTACTTAATATAAGTAACTTAGCATTTCCTTCACACTGTATGACGTCAACAAAAGCAGGCAGTATATACAGACAAGACACAAAACCTCTCAGGAGAAAGTAGAAGGGTGAACCCAAAACCAGTGACAGATGGGAGTAAGACAATCACTGAAGACAAGAAGAAAGCAGAACATTTCAATCATTATTTTGCCTCAGTTAACAGAGCAGGTAAGCTGTCAGAACTCAATAGAACACAGCTCTCTCAGTTGAAGAAACAAGAGAGAGCTCCAACAGCCAGCGACTCCCTTTTTGAAAATGAATTTAGCATGGATGAATTAGAGCAAGCCCTGAAGAAATTAAAACCTAGAAAATCTCCAGGCCCAGATAAGATCCACAACGAAATGCTGCTACATCTTGGCCGGTCTGGGAGAGAAGTAGTTCTTAGGCTTATTAATAAAACTTGGAGGTCAAGCAAACTTCCAAAGGCATGGAGGAATGCATATATCGTCCCTATTCTTAAAACCAAAAAAGCCTCCAGATGACCCCAAAAGCTACCGCCCAATATCCTTAACATCATGCTTGGGCAAAGTTGCAGAAAGAATGATAAACAGGCGCTTATATAGGTTTCTTGAGAGTTCTGGTGTTCTATGCCATGAACAGGCAGGCTTCAAAACCAACAACTGTACAGAAGACCAGATGTTCAGACTGACACAAAGAATACATGATGGCTTCCAGAATAAGAAACACACAGTGGCAGTCTTTGTCGACCTCCAGCAGGCCTATGACAGAGTATGGAGAAAAGGTCTCCTGATGAAGATGATGAGCATAGGAATACATGGCAGATTGTATAACTGGGTGAAATACTTCCTGATAGATAGAACAATCCAGACTAAGATGCACAACGCAATCTCTTCTAAAGAAGTCTTGGAGGAGGGCTTGCCACAAGGCTCATCATTGAGCTGCACACTATTCCTAATCTTTATCAATGACCTGCCAGAACAAATCAAAGCCGAAAAAGCCTTGTACGCTGATGACCTAGCAATATGGCAGAATCATGAAAATGTGGAAAGTGGAGCCCAAAGACTGAATGGAGACCTTAGAAGACTGCATGAGTACTGCCAAAGATGGAAACTCAAGGTTAACTGTGCAAAGACGGTCTACACAATCTTTACCAAAAGCCACCAAGTAGCAAGGAAGAATATTAACCTGAGGTTAGACAAACACCAAGTGATGGCAAAAGAGCATCCCACATACCTTGGAGTCACACTTGACCAGCAGCTCAGCCTCAAGAACCATATTGAAAACGTCAGGAATATGGCATTGAGGCGGTTACAGTTATTAAAGAGACTTGCAGGTACATCATGGGGATCAGACAAGGAAACTCTGAGGGGCTTATATCTAGGATGGATATGTTCGCTCTGTGATAGAGTACAACAACTCACTGCTTACAACTTGCTCCAAAACTAACCTAGAGACTCTTGACAGAGTACAAAATAATGCCCTCCGATTAATCTGCGGAGCTATGCAGTCTACACCAACTGCTGCATGTGAAATCCATACAAATGTGGAACCCCTCGGGTTGAGGAGAGAAAAAGCCACTTTAGAAATTTATGAAAGATGCGTTAGGAAAAATCGTAACCATCCCAATAGACATCTTGTAGAAAACTGGGAATACAAACAAAGAATAAAGCACAAATCGGTTTTACACTGTGTTAATGAAATTCAGGACAGATACCACCTCCCAGAAAGACGTCAAGGAATTCAGAATGTTGCACGAAACCTACCATCACATGCTCGCTTTAAAGCTCCAGAAGTCCGAACTAAATTGGTAGGCGAGGAAACCAAACAGTCCGACCCAATCGCTCTTATGAACTCATCACTAAAGACCGTTGATTCTTACCCCCAAGAATGGATACATGTTTATACTGATGGATCAGCATTTAAAGCTACCATTAAAGCAGGTTACGGAATCTACATAGGTTATCCTGATGGATCTGTTGAAGAGATTTTTGATGCATGCGGGGAATTCTGTTCAAACTATGAAGCTGAAATAATTGCACTGGAAACAGCAGTATACCACCTAAAGACTGTAATGGATGTTTACCCTTCAAAGGTCCAAAATATTGTCATCTTCACAGATTCAATGTCTGTCCTTCAAGCTCTGGAGGGCAGTGAACGCTGCAGAACTGATATAGCCAAGATAATTCTGGATGCTGATCAGCTTATTACCTCATACAACATCAGAATAGTGATGCAGTGGATTCCAGGTCACTCCGGCACACCAGGTAATGACAGAGCTGACAGATTGGCAAAGAAAGGAGCAACACAAGAACAACCACCTACAGCGACAACCCTCCAGACAGCAAAAACACTGATAAGAGCTATAAACAAAGAGACTTGGTTGAACAGATGGGCCATGGGAGACACTGGAAGAGAGGTTTATAGACATATGTCTGGCCCTGATCCTAATGACAGCATTAACCATCTAACAAGAAGGGACCAGGCCACCATCTTCAGACTTAGAACGCAACATACTCCACTCAATGGACACCTAAACAGAATACAGCCACAACACTCCCCAGAGTGCCAGCTATGTAACTACCCCTACGAAACTGTTGAACACCATCTCTTTGAGTGCCCAGAACTCAGTGAGACAAGAAGAACGCTACTCCCTCCGAGACCAGACAAGTGGAACACCTTGTATGGAGGAAAAGAACAGCTTGTGAAAACATGCAAATTCCACTACATGGCATTGGGCCAAAGGGCGAAAGCTCATGCACCGCTGGATCGATAACAACAACAAGACACAATTCCTTCAGTTTAGAGGTATGATTCACCACACATTTGTTTGCCTTTGGAGAAAGGGGGAGAGGGTGTAAAATGTATTAGGGTATGGCTTCCATCTCTAGATTTTTCTTCAAATAAAAGAAGCCAAGATTATTAATACATTCTTAGTTACCATAGGGAATCATATAATCAATCTTCTTGCATACTGCATATGTTATTATCTGTAAACAGTTGAGCATTATAAAAACAACCTAGCCAGAAAAAAAGAAAGAATCTGGTGTTTCAAATACATATTCCATGAATTCCTTGCTGATGCTAGGGCATCCAAGAACTGCGTTAAGACCTCTATGGCAGCATACTGGAGCATTCTGCAGTTACCGGGAGAACCTGTAGCAGTGACTAGACGGCTACCTGCCCAGATGTCTTGGGCTTGAACCCATTTCAGTCTTCTTCTTCTTCATTTGTCATCTCAGATACAGTAAAGTTTAATTTACTCCCAACTCCACTCACCCTAAAACTGGTATCAGAAAATGCCATGGAAAGTAAAGGTAGCCACACAAACCACCCAAAGATAATTGGTCTATTAACATTTTTTAAAAATTTACTATTATATACCCAATTCACCAGTGGCGTTAAAAGTTGTTTACCTCCAGTATAAAGTTATCTATGTGTAATAAATGGGACAAAGAACTAACATGAAACAATTACACTTCTGCTTTTAAAATGAGGTACTGATGGAGTCTGACCAACTTTTCTTTTTTAAAAACAAGCATTAAAACATGCCGGATTTAAAAATTATAATTCAACAAACATAATTGAGATAGACTATACAAACTACTTGCACCTCTGTACACCAGTAAAGTGTTTCAAAAACCACACAAATGTCTTTCTCATTCAGACAAGCATGAACTGCTGTTTGTATCGGCTTGAGGTTGGCGGCCTAAGCAATAAATTATCACTGCTGGGACACTTAAACCTTAAACTAAGTGAGTACTAAGCGACTCATGATGTCTGTTGTTTCCACTGACATGATAAACTTTTCTAAATTCCTTGAAGCCATCCTTTAGTTAACTAACCAACTGTGTCCCAACTGTTACTGGAACTCCTTTTGTCTACATGTTATAACCTTTGCCTTATCAGACAAAGCAGCTGTCAATTACAGAAACAACAACTGAGCATAGACCAGTTAAATCAATAATTGTCTAACACTGCATGAGTTAAGTTTTGTGACTCCTGCTGCCTGGCTTGAAGACAGCCAGAGTGACAGTCCCTGGCTCTAGAAGTAAGAAGTCACAAGGGAAATAATAGTAAAGTGAAGAACATTGAGACTGTAACTATATCCTCAGAAGCAGTGAGGTGAAGGTCTCATCTTCAGCTGCCTGCTTTTGAAGTTGGTGTTGGGATCGGCACGGGAACTGACCACAGCTCAAACAAGACAAATGTTAAGGACATCCTAGACAACATTGTCTAGTATATTCTCGGACACTTTATTCTTTACTGTAACATGTAAGACAGCCAATCAATAGTACTAAACAGCAACATTTCTCTCTGTATTTTGATGGTCCTAAGCTGATATTTCAGTGAAATAAATGGGTCTACTGTGGTCACAGAATATAATTGTATCAACCACAATGTTTCAGTCTCTGTCACAGAGTTGCCTTGTTATTGAACTCTTTCTATTCTAGGCAGCTCTTCATGAACTTCTGAACAACTACCTGGGGCACAGAATGTTCACAATAATCAACACTGGAGCAAACAGTTCTAGTGTAGAGGCACACACCACACAAACATGGAAGAAACTATCTCCTGGTCACCCTCAAGCAGATCCATGAGCTAGGTATCACAAAGTGGGGGAAACTACATCCAAGAGCCACACCTGTCAAGTCCGCCGCTCCCCTGTCTGTCTATCACTGTAAAACTAGGCCAACCTGTGATGGAAATAAGAACATCTTATTAAAGAACACATCTAAACCTGTAGCCTTTTAATGTCCACTTGGAAGAGACAGCACTGAAGCCAGGCTGTTTTGTGCCACCAATAAAGCTTACTTGTACTAACTAATATTTATTAAAGTCATTTTCTGCTTCTCATGCCCCTATTGGAGCACAATCTTCCATTTATCTCACACCTATCAGCCTCTATTGGAGCACAATCTTCCATTCATCTCATGCCTTTTAGCCCCTAATGGAGCACAATCTTCCATTTATCTCATGCCAAGCCCTTGCATTTTCAGCCATCTCTTGCAGCTCACCTTGGGCAATGAAGCTCTTTTCATTTTTCTGTTTGGGAAAAACTGGTTCATGAAAGTACAATTCTGATTTTGTAGAAAAGAGTTCATGTGTGACGCTGCTGACCCAGTGATAACTCTTCTAAGTCACTTCTAACTCATGAATTAGTGTTACAGTTCTTTGCTTCTCTTATGGGCAAATAAACATACTGATCTTTTATGTCATCATGCATCATTGGCCAGTAAAGGGACATTTAATTTGTTTGTATTTACTTTACTATCGACATTATTAAAATCTATTAAAGATGGCCGGTCAGTCACAACCATCTATGCCTGGCAGAGAGACGGTCGGTCACAACCATCGATGCCTGGCAGAGGGATGGTCAGTCACAACCATCTATGCCTGGCAGAGGGACGGTCAGTCACAACCATCTATGCCTGGCAGAGGGACGGTCAGTCACAACCATCTATGCCTGGCAGAGGGACGGTCAGTCACAACCATCTATGCCTGGCAGACGGCCAGTCAGTCACAACCATCTATGCCTGGCAGATGGCTGGTCAGTCACAACCATCTATGCCTGGCAGACGGCCAGTCAGTCACAACCATCGATGCCTGGCAGACGGCCAGTCAGTCACAACCATCTATGCCTTGCAGACGGCTGGTCAGTCACAACCATCTATGCCTGGCAGATGGCTGGTCAGTCACAGCCATCTATGCCTGGCAGATGGCTGGTCAGTCACAACCATCTATGCCTGGCAGATGGCTGGTCAGTCACAACCATCTATGCCTAGCAGAGGGATGGTCAGTCACAACCATCTATGCCTGGCAGATGGCTGGTCAGTCACAACCATCTATGCCTGGCAGAGGGACGGTCAGTCACAACCATCTATGCCTGGCAGACGGCCGGTCAGTCACAACCATCTATGCCTGGCAGATGGCTGGTCAGTCACAACCATCTATGCCTGGCAGAGGGACGGTCAGTCACAACCATCTATGCCTGGCAGACGGCCGGTCAGTCACAACCATCTATGCCTGGCAGATGGGTGGTCAGTCACAACTATCTATGCCTGGCAGATGGGTGGTCAGTCACAACTATCTATGCCAGGCAGAGGGACGGTCAGTCACAACCATCTATGCCTGGCAGACGGCCGGTCAGTCACAACCATCTATGCCTGGCAGATGGGTGGTCAGTCACAACTATCTATGCCTGGCAGATGGGTGGTCAGTCACAACTATCTATGCCAGGCAGAGGGACGGTCAGTCACAACCATCTATGCCTGGCAGACGGCCGGTCAGTCACAACCATCTATGCCTGGCAGATGGGTGGTCAGTCACAACCATCTATGCCTGGTAGAGGGACGGTCAGTCACAACCATCTATGCCTGGCAGACGGCTGGTCAGTCACAACCATCTATGCCTGGCAGAGGGACGGTCAGTCACAACCATCTATGCCTGGCAGAGGGAAAATGAGGAGGAAGAAGTTAACAAACAAGAACAGGAGATGGCAGAAGAAGAGAGTGGTACTGACCTGATGTGTCTCCATGTGAGGGCATTTCCAGTTGTACAAATAGTATTGTAGAAAGCCATCTCCCACGCCAAACTTTAACTTCTCTAAGAATTCTCTGTTATCCATGAGGTCTAAAGCGTTGAATACATCAAAGCCCATCTGGACAGTGACAATGACAGTGGTTAATGACGTGTGTCAGCTGGCTAATCTCACAATCAGTTATTACAACAAAACTAATTTTTAAATTGAAAAAAAATAAATGCCATCAAAATTATTCCAGCAAACTGCAATGATTAAAACATTCTAAAGATAAGTCATGCTTATGAACTTACTTGGGATATTTTTCATGTTTAAAAGCCATTTACTTATCAACATGCCCCATTAACCAAGCTCCAAATACAATATGAAAGATAAGCAACGACAATGCAAGTAAATCTTTAAACAATAACACAGAGAAGTTTTTTTTTTTTAAATCTTAATCAAAATGATGGCTGCAGAAGCTTTCTTCTTCTTCTTTTTTGCATATGTGTAATGGGGGATATTTTCACCCTGATTAGGAAGGTTGGGGGGAAAGCCCAAGGTTAACCAGAATACAGAGAGAAGCCAGATACTCGGATTAACCGAGGTTTTCAAGATAGGTGATGACCACGAGTTATCACGTGGAACCTGATGATAGCAACCACAGGTTGCCACGTGGAACCCCAACAACCACGTGTTGCCACTTGGAACAAACACTGGGTATAAGCCCAGACCCCAGTAAGTTTGAGTTAGTATGTGTTGACTGTCGGAGTGAAAGGATGGGAGAATGATCGAGAGAATGACAACGTGAGACTGATTGCTACGAGAGGAAGAGCAGATGACAACGCCCATTGAAGCCAAGACCAGCCAGGCAATTCTGTGTGAAGCCGAGGAGAATAACCAGATTCATCTGTGCGAACTCTGGTCAGTGACTGTGCGAGAAACCAGCATGTTGGAGTCTGAGTAATGTGGTGTGTGCAAGCTGTATCTTAGGACACGGACAAGACGTATATGTAAGAGATAAAATGTCAATAAACTCATGTATCGTACTGCTAAGTTGGTGTCAGCTTGTCCCAGTTATGTCATCGTAGAATGTGCGCTAAGAGTATTCACTGGTAATCTGGTAATCCTAGTTTCAGCTTCTCTACAAACGGGTCACCCCACAGTTGCTCCGCTCCTGTGCCAACGAAAAACAAACGCAGCTCACAGTGTCACGCCATGCACTCAACTCAGAAGCTGGGCGACGAAACTACATCCTTCCAGTCTACAAATGGGGCAAAAATTCAACGGCCACCGTCTGGCAGAGAAAAAAAACACATTTGCCACAGCTTTAAAAAAAAAAAAAAGGTGGCCGTGCCTAGCGTCCATTTTGACCGGAAGCATTATATGAGGGTTAATAAATGGTCACCCCAGCAGTACCCTCATTATTAGCTGGGGAAGGGACTTAGGACATTACATCCACCAGCAGGCGTCGCCCCTACAACGACCTGCCTGCCATCGTTAACAACTGTTCACCCAACAGCCATGCAGTTCTTTGGCACGAAGGAGACACCTTGAACTTGGGTTTCGTACTGCCGACTCCCTACTAAGATGTTATTTTATGTTTTGTTATCACAATTGATGTCACTGCACATTGGGCATACCCATGCGTGCTCAGTTCTCCGAAGCAGCAGCCACTCCAAAGTACTTCTACTAATAGTCCCCATAAGAAGCTGGTTATATTGTCTCTTTTCTTGGCCTCGAAGACGGCAAAGACGTGCATCACCATGCTTAACTCCCATGTCACGCAATCGTGTTAGTGTCAGGGATTCCTCATTCGCCACTAGCCCAGTTCGTACAGCGTTGACTATATTCACTACACACATTGTCTCCTAGACAACAGCCAGTGCAAGCAGAGATTGTGTTGCAACAAATCTCATTGCAATATGGTTTCGTATACTCAGGTCACACTGTCAGGTGGACTGCCTCTATAAATTTACTTGTCGGTTGCAGTTCCTTTATGGACACTTTGCTCTTGAGGAAAAGTTTTTCTTATTTGTTGTTAAGTATAGTGGGCAGGCCTGCAGAATGTGCTCTGATGTTGTTGGTCTCATTTGTGGACACTGTAAAGTCTTTATTTTCCACAAGTGGTAGTTGAGCATGCAGTGTTCTGTGCTTAGATTGAAAAGTGGTGTATTCTGTTTTCTGTTGGAGTCTTGTGGATGTTGACCACTGGTTTGTTCTCTCCACAATTCTGAGTATTTTGCCTCAATAACTAATGTGAAGGAATCATTCTACTTCTGCTGCCTATCTTTCTAAGCCACAAATCTCATGACCACTGTAGCAATGACAATGAATGCCTGTGTTGTTTTTCTTTTGTTCTATTCTTTGCAAGTCAGTCCGCCAACTCATTTTCTGGTATGCCACAGTGGTCAGAAGCTTTAACACTGCAGTTTTTTTTTCAACAAGCATTCATGTGAGTCATTAAACAGGTTTTGAAATGTAAAACAAACAAACAGATTGGGGAAAACAAGAACTGAATTCCATCCATAATGCTGAATGTTAAATTAAGAATCGACATCACCGCACTCGGGACACCCTCATAAGTACTCTGTCCCTATCTTCAGCAGCATGCGAAGAGTTAAAATTTGGATGGTACCTGTTTGATTGTATATCTGTCTCGCATTTCCCCTGAGTGTCGAGTGCCAGCTAGATCTCTTTGTGACTCCTCACAGTGCCATTCTCTCAGACCGAAATGATCTATCTGTGCCTCAGGACTGTTCAATTGCCCCCAAAGGGCCCAAACAACCCATGATACTGAGAAGACTGCACATAACGGAACAGAAGAGAGGACTAGGGTGCAAACTCTTCTCAACTCCTCTACTCAAACATGGCTACTTGAAACTTTCAGAGAATTCTGGGACAGGTCATAGAATAAAAGACAATGAGGTAGGGAACTGGCCAGCAAATCTAAGTTATGAATATATATGAAGGACCAACACTTTACAATTCCAGTAGCAGTATCTGTCAAGGAAATATCTTTACCTTTGTCTATAGCATCTCAATTACTTCCTTAAAATATACAGAAAATGTACGTACATTTTTGGCTACAATTAATGTATCCTGCATGAGGTCGACCCATGGAGTTTTTGTACTTGCGTTGTAGAATGAGTAGGCAGCACGAAGGGACTTATGAACTGGGTGGTGCATGATGGTCGATGGAAGGGAGTAGAAGCTGACAAAATCAGTCAATTTGCCATTGCTCTGTGGAGAGTTTCTTGTGATTAGCTGGTGCATGATAAGATAATGGCTTGTGATTAGTTAGTGCATGATACAATACTGGCTTGTGATTAGCTGGTGTATGAAACAATAATAGCTTGTGATTAGCTGGTGTATGAGACAATAATGGCTTGTGATTAGCTGGTGTATGAGACAATAATGGCTTGTGATTAGCTGGTGTATGAGACAATAATAGCTTGTGATTAGCTGGTATATGAGACAATAATGGCTTGTGATTAGCTGGTGTATGATAAGATATTGGCTTGTGAATAGCTGGTGTATGATAAGACAATGGCTTGTGAGGAGTTGGTGCATGATACAATAATGGCTTGTGATTATCTGGTGAATTATACAATAATGGCTTGTGATTAGCTGGTGCATTATACAATAATGGCGTGTGATTATCTGGTGAATTATACAATAATGGCTTGAGATTAGCTGGTGCATTATACAATAATGGCGTGTGATTATCTGGTGAATTATACAATAATGGCTTGTGATTAGCTGGTGCATTATACAATAATGGCGTGTGATTATCTGGTGAATTATACAATAATGGCTTGTGATTATCTGGTGCATTATACAATAATGGCGTGTGATTATCTGGTGAATTATACAATAATGGCTTGTGATTAGCTGGTGCATGATACAATAATGGCTTGTGATTAGCTGGTGCATGATACAATAATGGCTTGTGATTAGCTCGTGCATGATACAATAATGGCTTGTGATTAGCTGGTGCATGATAAAATAATGGCTTGTGATTATCTGGTGCATGATAAGATAATGGCTTGTGATTAGACACAGCAAGATATATGGAAACAATATCAGCAGGAGATATGTTCTGCCCACAACCATGTCCCTATCACAGCCAATTCATTACTGATTTTCATTGTAGCATGTTGCCTTCAGTATATGGTCTTTAAAAGTCAAAGGCCCTTCCCATCAACCTGAACATATCTGCAAGCATTTCTGTTACACTGATGTCATACTCTATGAAACTGCTTTTTGTAGTCAAAGAATTTTTTAAAATTTTCATAGAGTGATAGACTGAGTTAATATTATTATTATCAGTAAATGAACATAATTTATTTTAATATTGCCTTCCAGAAACCCATATTTATCTTCCCTGTTTTCTGTTGTATTTTCTTTTTGGTTCTTTTAACTATGATTCTTAGTTGTTGTTTTTTTAAATGTGTGATGTGACTCACAGTGCTACATATTCAATTCTATGTTAAATTATTCAACAGTACTACACAGCTCCAACACTGAGCTGAGATTCTATAGAGCTTTATGTACATAATGAAAGTGATCTGGGGATATAGAGGGAAACTTAAATGCATTTAAAAACAAAGAAATCAGGAAATTGAAGAGCATAAAATGGGATGCATTCAAGAGGAGTGAAGAAATAAGAGAAATGTCTTGGCAACCACCAGTATTAACAGTTATGAGACAGAGGATATTGGACGCATTCAGAGAAAAGATGAACAGAGAACCATCAAAAAGGCACTGAAATAGGGAGTGGAGGCGAGGACATCCAGGGGAAACTCTAGGGCGAACACTGGTGAGAAAGGCCAGGTGTGCTGGCGTGGATTCCACTGATGATATCGAAGTGCTCGCACAGGATAGAACAGAGTGGAAAAATCAACTGTGAGCCATATTGACACAAAGTGGCACAACAGAGCAATGAATCAATGAATGAAAATGATCTAATTTTCAACACTTTATACCATTCCTCAAAGAAGCTGAATTAACTTTGCAAAAATGTACACCATTCCTCAAAGAGTTTCCATTAGATCTGCAAACTTTCACCTCCCCTATCGGAGAAACCAAATCTATGCACTGAGAAGTGAGACAAGTGACTGCAGTAAAGAAACATCAATCTTACCTCAACAACATAACTGTAAACTATGCCTGGTCTGGGCACAAACCAATGCTTAAACTCCTCTATACTGAACACTGGAACAAGCTGGTACCTCTGCATGAACTGAAACACAATGTGAGATTTTTAACAATAAAAATCAGTCAGCAGTTTTGATAAAACTGTTATGCCAGTCATGCTTAATCTGGGAGACTAGACTTTCAAGATCATTATAAAAGCATCAATTCCAATGCAGTAAGTTGTGTCCCTGAAAGTGAAAGAATAATGATAAAACTACAAAACAAGTTGAGCTGGACATGACAGTGGCCCAAAGAGAAGCTAGCCACCCCAGCTATGTGAAACACTCAGCAGGTCAACCCTCAAAGCTGTATTTGTTATGTCAGTGGTTCCTAAACTTTTTCAGGTTTCTACTGCCATTGCTTAGCTTCCTAGGCCACATCTCTAATGCCTACAGAAATATACTTCTTTCTTGGCAATTATGCGTCTGCCTTTACTGGCTGCGTTTGCCACTTTGCTGGACAGTGAAGGGCAGGGAAGTCTTGAGCTAGATGATTTAGGGCGGCATGGCTAGAGCAGTTGCCAGCAACTGTGCAAGTTTAGGAATTTATCTTTTGTCTGTGACCAACAAACAAATCACAAAAATGCCATTGCCTTCCTAAGGATTTCAAATAGGGCCTGCAACATCAGAGCCCAACATTCTTAACCACTCTGCCAGACACTCCTCAAAGTAATCAGCAAATACTTTAACCCTACCAGACCTGAGACCCTGAACCTAACTGTCCCCTATACCTGAGCTCCAGGGCATTAACGTGAAAAATCCAACATGATATACACAAATTTTAGTTACATGCAAACAAGTGGCTAGAATATGTTGAAACTTGGAAACATTGTAGAAAATGGATTTATCTTTTATCTAGCACCAATATTCCACCTTTGTGTGCCAATCCACTCAGGAGGATCAGGATTGTTTCCCAATGTGAATACCAGATGTTACTGTTTGAGGGACACGCCCTTTCTCCTTCTATCGATCTATTTCTAGATTTATAATTTTCAAGATTCTCCTCATTATTTGAGCTCTCTCACTTAACTGTGAACGTATTCTTCATGAAATTATGACTCTGCAGAGTCTGAATAAACCAAAGTATTGATCACCTGTTGGACTGTGAAAATACTAGACCTACTTAACTTTCCTGTCAAAGTGCTTGGTTCATCAGCCGATCGTTTCATTGTTGAATTTTCAGAATTTTATCACGTAAAATAACACAAATTTAATCCAAACACGTGCGGGCGGACACCTAGGAAGACTATCCATGAGGTCTGATAACAATTGGCTAGTTATTTTTAGTCTGTGACGCATCTTTTTCACGACCTACGCAAATAGCCGAAAATTAGGGCGTCAGGTTAAGAAGTTAAGAGATAAACATCTGAGAGAGTTACTAAATACTGGAAACACATGCAGCAGTAAGAGATAAACATCTGAGAGAGTTACTAAATACTGGAAACACATGCAGCAGTAAGAGATAAACATCTGAGAGAGTTACTAAATACTGGAAACACATGCAGCAGTAAGAGATAAACATCTGAGAGAGTTATTAAATACTGGAAACACACGCAGCTGTAAGAGATAAACATCTGAGAGAGTTATTAAATACTGGAAACACATGCAGCGGTGAGAGATAAACATCTGAGAGAGTTATTAAATACTGGAAACACACGCAGCGGTGAGAGATAAACATCTGAGAGAGTTATTAAATACTGGAAACACAAGCAGCAGTAAGAGATAAACATCTGAGAGAGTTATTAAATACTGGAAACACACGCAGCTGTAAGAGATAAACATCTGAGAGAGTTATTAAATACTGGAAACACACGCAGCTGTAAGAGATAAACATCTGAAAGAGTTAAAAACTGGAAACATATGCAGCGGTAAGAGATAAACATCTGAGAGAGTTATTAAATACTGGAAACACATGCAGCAGTAAGAGATAAACATCTGAGAGAGTTATTAAATACTGGAAACACACGCAGCGGTGAGAGATAAACATCTGAGAGAGTTACTAAATACTGGAAACACATGCAGCTGTAAGAGATAAACATCTGAAAGAGTTAAAAACTGGAAACATATGCAGCGGTAAGAGATAAACATCTGAAAGAGTTAAAAACTGGAAACATGCAGCAGTGAGAGATAAACATCTGAAAGAGTTAAAAACTGGAAACATATGCAGCAGTGAGAGATAAACATCTGAAAGAGTTAAAAACTGGAAACACATGCAGCGGTGAGACATAAACATCTGAAAGAGTTAAAAACTGGAAACACATGCAGCGGTGAGAAACAAACACCTGAGAGAGTTAAAACCTAAAAACAAATGCAGGGGTAAGAGATAAACATCTGAGAGAGTTAAAAACTGAAAAGGCATGCAGCAGTGAGAGATAAACATCTGAGAGAGTTAAAATTGAGAAACACATCTAGTGGTGAGAGATGAGAGAATTAAAAACTGGAAAAACATGCAGCGATGAGAGATAAACATCTGAGAGAGTTAAAACCTGGAAACACATGCAGCAGTAGGAGATAAAAATCTTAGAGTTAAAAACTGAAAACGCATGCAGCGGTGAGAGATAAACATCTGAGAGAGTTAAAAACTGGAAACATGCAGCAGTGAGAGGTAAAACATCTGAGAGAGTTAAAAACTGGAAACACACACAGCGGTGAGAGATAAACATCTGAGAGAGTTAAAAACTGGAAACACATGCAGGGGTAGGAGATAAAAATCTTAGAGTTAAAAACTGAAAACGCATGCAGCGGTGAGAGATAAACATCTGAGAGAGTTAAAAACTGGAAATGCATGCAGCAATGACAGATAAAACATCTGAGAGAGTTAAAAACTGGAAACACATGCAGCGGTGAGAGACAAACACCTGAGAGAGTTAAAACCTAAAAACAAATGCAGGGGTAAGAGATAAACATCTGAGAGAGTTAAAAACTGAAAAGGCATGCAGCAGTGAGAGATAAACATCTGAGAAAGTTAAAATTGAGAAACACATCTAGTGGTGAGAGATGAGAGAATTAAAAACTGGAAAAACATACAGCGATGAGAGATAACCATCTGAGAGAGTTAAAAACTGGAAACACATGAAGCGGTGAGAGATAACCATCTGAGACAGTTAAAAACTGGAAACACATGCAGCGGTGAGAGATAAACATCTGAGAGAGTTAAAAACTGGAAACATACAGCTGTGAGAGGTAAACATCTGATAGATAAGCATCTATTTAGGGTGAGATCTCAAGAAGAAAGAAATGTGAAAATGTCTACCTGTGAAAGCAATAAATAGGCTTCCGGGACATCAGCTGGAGTCAGCTCTCTGAAGCCTGGTGTCTTGGGTTGCTACATCAGAAAAAAAATAATACATTATCAATGACTAGTAAACATCCGATCGAAGCCCTTGCATGTGGCCTAACAATGAATATTTACCATGTCTGTGTTATAAATATGTTCTTGAAAATACAAATACATGAAATAAAGGGTAGTGAAGAATTCTTTTGGTACCAGAGAACAGTTAAATTAGTTATAAATCAATGCAGGATGCATTCCTTAGTACTAAAAGAGTTAATCTGGATGAACAACACAATAGTGATCAGAACAGATTATGCGATTAAAATAAATTTATATTTTTGAAAAAGTTATCTTGGACCATCAAACTGAAGCAGCAACAAAGTTAGTACAAACTTTTTATTACACAGAACAATATTATAAAGGTAATGTTGATGACAAATAATAGTCAACTCTGTAATAAGATATGTGTGTGAATATTAACAAACAATATTCCCTGTAGCGGCGTCAGTGGCTAAGGCGTTGCGAGTCTGACTCGTAATCCAACGTACTGCGATCGAAACCTGCGTGGGCTGCGTGGATTTTTATCATGGTACGGGACGTCGCAGGTCGACCCAGCCTCAAATGGGTACCAGGATGGGCTGTCCTGGGAAAGTAAAGACGGCCGGTGTAATGCTGACCACATTACCCACCGAGTGCCGATTGGTCTGTAAAAATATGGGTGCTCTCCCCATATGCCCGATGCGCCTAAGGGCGTGTGAAGGGATCTTTACTTACTTTTTATATTCCCTGTAACAAGCAGTAATGAACAAAGTATAAAAGGGCATAATTCTACCTACTTCTGGAAGTTTGTACAGTTTCAATGTCCTTTGCATAGTCATGTTTCGACTTAAATGTGAGAACTTCACCTCAATCAGCTTTCTGGGGTTCAGAGATCTGTGCCAGTATCTGTAAAGGGTAGAACAAATGACTATATTTATACATATGCATGCGTGTAAGTGCATGCCTGTGTGTTAAGAGAGAGAGAGAATGTAAGCTCTATATCATCATCCTCACATGCCCTGCCCCGCAGCAAAGGCGCTCATGTATCTCCTCAGATCTCAGTCCCTGGTATTTGGAATCCATTCCACCAATGATTCTCCGCACGGCATCGTTTCAGGTCGTCAAGCATCATCTTTCTTGGTCTACCTCTTCACTGCTGATCTTTCCACTTACCAAGATGTTCTCCAATGCCTCTTGACTCACCACATGGCCAAAGAACAATGACCGCCTCTTTAATTAAGCTATATATATATATATATAAAAAATATATATATATATATATATATATATATATATGTGTGTATGTATGTGTGTGTATAGATATATAATTTTATAAGCTGTTTGCAGACAGTGGTTGTATACACTAAAGATAAAGTGACAGCTGACAGGCTCAACTTTACTGCACATGGTTACATCCCGTACAGCTAGGTCTCTCTAGACAGAATGGCTAGCCACCTGCTGAGAGCAACGAACAAAGCGCCAACTTCATAACTCTAGTGATGATACCTAGAGAACTTTCTAAAAAGTACATCTGTCAACAATCACATGTTTAGGAAATGAACCCATGTTATTCAGAGCACTAGGCAAACAGCTGGACCACCTTGCCTCAAAGTAATTTCAAGTACTATAGATACTAAAGTGAACATCCTATAAGGGTCATCGACAATGATTGCCAGGATTTTAAACTGTTACTATAAAAGAAATATTTAATGGATATACATGTGTGGCATGGATATAAAGGGTGGCATGGATATACATGTGTGGCATGGATATACATGTGTGGCATGGATATACATGTGTGGCATGGATATACATGTGTGGCATGGATATACATGTGTGGCATGGATATACATGTGTGGCATGGATATACATGTGTGGCATGGATATGCATGTGTGGCATGGATATACATGTGTGGCATGGATATACATGTGTGGCATGGATATACATGTGTGGCATGGATATACATGTGTGGCATGGATATACATGTGTGGCATGGATATACATGTGTGGCATGGATATAAAGGGTGACATGGATATACATGTGTGGCATGGATATACATGTGTGGCATGGATATACATGTGTGGCATGGATATACATGTGTGGCATGGATATAAAGGGTGACATGGATATACATGTGTGACATGGATATACATGTGTGACATGGATATACATGTGTGGCATGGATATACATGTGTGGCATGGATACACATGTGTGGCATGGATATACATGTGTGGCATGGATATACATGTGTGGCATGGATACACATGTGTGGCATGGATATACATGTGTGGCATGGATACACATGTGTGGCATGGATATACATGTGTGGCATGGATATACATGTGTGGCATGGATATACATGTGTGGCATGGATACACATGTGTGGCATGGATATACATGTGTGGCATGGATATACATGTGTGGCATGGATATACATGTGTGGCATGGATATACATGTGTGGCATGGATATACATGTGTGGCATGGATATACATGTGTGGCATGGATATACATGTGTGGCATGGATATACATGTGTGGCATGGATATACATGTGTGGCATGGATATACATGTGTGGCATGGATATACATGTGTGGCATGGATATACATGTGTGGCATCTTCAAATGTTCCGAAAAGTTTAGTTTTAGATTTACCTCAATGAGGATGGAAGTCTAGATTAAGCTCTGTAGCTCTGGTAATGTCTAGACAGTATTCAGTCTCCTGATTTGTCTTCTATTTCCTGTCCAGAGTTACAGTTGTAATTGCTGCAGCAACCGTCTATATCGTACAGGATGTTCCTTTTCTTCTCAGCATAGTTTTAAGCCTCACAGTCACACAAGGTAACATGAAACTTCAGACGTTTATAAACATATAAAGATGCCACACATGTATATCTATTAAATACTTCATTTTTTAAAAATGGTTTAGAATCCCAGCAATGATTCTCTATGATCCTGTATTCTATCTGAGCTACAAACACGTAACTATATAGTGATCTACGTAAACAGTATATGAGTTACAGAGACCCTATAATGTAACTTCTACCTGCAGGAGGCCACAGGTTTGGGCAGCACCACACCTGCGGTGTAGACAGCCTGGAACAAGCCTTGCAGATGTACACGCCGAGTGATTTCTTTGATCAGCACTGGGGCTACACGTTTTGCCCGCAGTTTCTTGTGAACACAGAGAAAATTGATCTCCACCATCTTTTTTAACCTGAAATAATATATACAAATATTTATTTTTGCTATAAGATATATAATTTTTGTTTTGTTGGTTTAGTTCTTGATTTATATTTCTTTACTCTGTTCCCTTTGATGCAAATCTGCCTGGTGGTGATATCTTACTTTGGCATAAGTATAACTGTCTGTTGGGTACTCTCTGATGGATTACACTTCGTTGAGTGTAGGAGTATAAAGATCCTGAGCTTGTATTAACTCTTTGAGTCCCGGGGGGTTTAGCATCACAGGCCCGGGGGGTAGTAAAGAGATTCATAAAATCGGCGCATCATGCGTTCATTGGGCTTCTAGATAGAACCCATAAACTTATGATGCGTTCCTTGGGACTCAAAGAGTTAAGAGCCAAACACTGTATACCTTGGTGCAATATATCTGTGTTTTTTTTTTGTTTTCTCTAAAAAAAGATGTTTTGCACCTTGTCTTTTAGTTTCCAGCTAAGTTGTGATACCTGCACTTTTCAGTCTAACACATCTGATTTGTGCAAATCTTTAATTAGTCACTGTTTATGACATGCTTGTTGAGGGGCAGTGAATCAATTTTTCTTCCTCCAAACATCAGGCCCTGGAACTCACAAAAGGGGTATCTTAGTTAGTTAACTGACCGATCACTCTCACTGCACATCAAACAAGTCTATCAGTGCTCAGATTCCATCTCAGTATGTTGATCAGTGATAATACCAGTAATGTTGCTGGTTTACTATTTTTCTTTCACTAGCTGTATAGTGCTCACATCTGGTGACACCTCTTTTGGTAAGTTCCTGTAGTCTTGTCAAAGCTGCAGATCCACTGTCATCTTCTGAATCATCTCTACTAATTCTACCTCCTTGAGAACAATAAGAACTTAAGCCCAGACCAATGTCAGTCCTGTGCCCACCATGGCGCTGCCAGCAAGCCAGTCTGTTCATTCTAATAGTCAGCTTACTGGCAGACAATAGGCTTTCACTGCACAAGATATCAGCACAAATACACCAATTGCTGTTGGTGGATACAAATGATGGATGATGTTACAGCTATAATACAAGTTGTTGCAGATGTGCATACTGATAAATCATCAGGGCACACACTCTGGGTGCTGCAATTGGGCCATTCTGTGTCCTGAAATAATAGGTTTGCTTCTGCATACAGTTCGATGCAGACCAGGATACAAGTGCATTTACTTAATGACTTCCCCTTGCATTTTCAGATATTGTTTGACTTTCTCTGTTGGAAACTTTAGCAGCCTCTCTCAAACATGTCATAACATGTGGGACAATCTTCCAGGGTTGGATGTTAGTAGGCAATAACATCAAAGTGTCAGAAGAAAAATACTTTTGATCACTTGTTGACTGGTTGGCACAATTACATGCAGAAAATGTTATCATAAATATGTGCCTTACAGGCATTGAAGTCTTTCCACTGATGTTCATTCTTGGTGTAGCAAGTTGATGGGCTGTGGCCAAACAAGAACATAAGGCACGCAGCATAACAAGAATAATAAACCAGCAAAGATGTGTTTTCAGCCTCTACATGCTGCTGGATTTACTGCGGACTAGACCTGCGCACCTATGGACTGAACGCTTAGATATGCAGTGATAATGCTCTGTCAACTAACTGCCTGATTCTGTGTGTTCTGTATCAATTCTATTGATGCGGTCGTACAAGTTGAATAGACTCTAAAACATGTCTTGAGAGACATCCCAGTTTATGACCAACAGTGAATTATACGCACGATTCAAAATAACGAACAACTACAACCCAGAAGAAAATGTCATTAAAGTGACCAACAAAGACACAATGTACCTATCATAGACTCGTATGTGAGCTGGGACACACAAGACTTAATGTACCTATCACAGACTCGTATGTGAGCTGCGACACAAAGGACACAATATACCTATCACAGATAGTATGTGAGCTGGGACACACAAGACTTAATGTACCTATCACAGATAGTATGTGAGCTGGGACAGAGGACACAGTATACCTATCACAGATAGTATGTGAGCTGGGACAGAGGACACAATATACCTATCACAGATAGTATGTGAGCTGGGACAGAGGACACAATATACCTATCACAGATAGTATGTGAGCTGGGACACACAAGACTTAATGTACCTATCATAGACTCGTATGTGAGCTGGGACAGCACTAATAAATCCTACAAGTTTCTTGCTCTTGATGACTCGAACCCCGCAGTGCCACTCCCTCAACCAACCAGGCGGCTGGAGAGCCCTGTAGTGTGATGATAAACAAACAACTTGACTGGAAGAATACAATTTACTTTCATCAATACACCCAAACATAATTAAACACTGAATGAGAAAGGGTATGATGAATAAAGAAAAATGACAAAGTTAAGAATATGTCAAAGAAATCACACAAAATAAAGCTGATCAATGTGATAGTAGTGGCAATTGATGTACGTCACTTTTAAATATATGAGGAAGATGACAATATAAATATTAAAAGACCTTGTATATTTATCTCATGAATAAGTAATGAGTTCAGAGGGTTAGTACCAGAACATCTGTTAGCCATGATTTGGCCTGGATAGCATGGAATATAAGCTAATAGAATGAGAAAAGAGCTCAGACAAAAGGAATTTGACACTTTAGCCCTTGTCAGTAAGGCAGCATCAGTTGTACCTGAGTTAAGTTTAGAAGTGTATGTGATTTTTGGACTTCGTGCTGTTTCATAGCTGATTTTTTTTTTTTTTAGTCAAGCATGTAACCATCAACCCACAGGTATTTTTTGTTAATTTTTTTTTAACTAATATTCTTATTATTTCAGCAAGGACATGTGTTTTAAGTCAGCCTTTATACTTTTGCCAAAATGGGGTCTGTTTTCACAACTCATATGCCATCATAATATACCTAAGTGACTGAGCTGCAAGTGGGAAGTGACATGAGGTTACCATGTCTTGCTTGAGCTCACTGCCTGAACTGTAAGTAACTGCAAGCATATATTTTTACAGCAGAGATTGCTGACAGTATGTGTCAGTGTATTATCTTTGCATGCAGTCCATATCTGTACAACTCAGAGATAGTTATTTGAGGACCTGATCCCTATGTGGTGTGTGCTGTTGTGTGTGAGTGTGGTGTGTGTGTAGATAACTAGAGAACAAAGGCACACTGCGTATGTATTGTTTATCTATCTCACACTTCATCTGGTGTGGTTGGTAATAAACTTTGTTCTGATGGTGCATTTAAGTTTTCCAGACTATGCTACTGCAATCATCACCACCAGCCATCTTGTGTTTGCAGGTACCCCTGTTGTCTGCGGCCTTGAGCATCAAAATGGGATGAAAATTATCAAGCAGTCACTTGAACTGATGTAGCTGCAGGCTGTCCTATTGTTCCTGCAACATTTCTTTGTTGAACCATCATGGATTAGCCACATCACCCATCAACTACAGACTGATCCCCAAAAATACTGGTTTCCTCTTCTTTCATGTTCAGCCTTTAAAGAGCAGTTGACAGACTGGCTAGGCTGAAATATCTGTGGCCCAAAACATCCAAATACAGTAAGCCCCTAATTAGTCTCCCTTTATGCCATGCTTGTCAGGGGGTAGTGGGTCTGACACCCCCCCCCCCCCCCCCCCCCCCCAAATAAAGACCCGAAACCCACATGGAGACATACGGGTTTAGACTCCACAACAGGAACCAGTTTTTATATAGAAATGAAGCATTTTTATTCTTTTATATTTAGTATGCTGCCTCTAAAACAAATTTCCACGTTCAATATATCAAGAGCAGGATTTATTCTTTCAATTGTTTCAACCACGTGTACATCTCTGGGGCTGACTTGGCAAAATAAGTTGGTACCAAGAAAATTAATGAAAATATTGTGTCCCATAAAAGCTTACTTACCATTGTAAAAATTCTGCAGAATAGTCAAATCTAAACATGTTATCATCATCCTCGACATAGTTCTCATTCAACAAGAGATAGAGTTCTTTCAGCTGAAAATAAATAAATAACAAAACAAATTTCAAAGCATCAGAATGCTAAATCTTCACTTTTCAAACATAGGATGTAAGGCTACCTTGACAGCCTGTTTAGTATTATTCTCTTAAATGCTAAAGTGTAACTCTTTCTTACAGACTTCTCTTGTATTATGCAATTGGTTTAAGGGGTCACTACACGGCATTTTTTCCAATTTGTGACAAAACTATCACTTTTTCAATGTGTTCGTGTTTGTAAAGTTCGGCATTCCTAGAATAGATGACACACAAAATTTATGTCATTTGTAAACAATTTAGCATTGAAAAGTTAATACTAACGACACCTCCTCGTGCACTTTTTTAAGAGAAAAAAAGTTTAAAAGTCAGTTTTCTCTAATCTCTATATTTCAGTTTGCTGTGTGTGTGAAATCCTAAAATCTATACTAATATAAAGAGTAGAAACATGAAATTTCGTATGCATACTCCGTAAACAATATTATAGGGATTGGTCTATCCAAAATAAGATTTTAGAAAGATTTTGTTTTTTTAAATTTGATTATTGTCCGATGATGCTAGATTTTTTTGACTTTTTCAATAAACTACTTTTTAAAATTCTACGAAAAATATTTAAAAACATGTTTAAAGTAAATAAACTAGACCTGTACCTGTAAATAGGATAAAATGCCATGAATTCATCATCTATTGTTGAATACCTATGTTTGTTTTGAAAATTTTAGGATCCTAAGTACATATTGTTTTTTTCACAAGATGGCGGCTATTGCCATGACAACTATGAATTTTTTAACACCTAAAGTATACAAATGTAATAACTTGTATCCCTACAAATGACCATTATAAAATAACTGCTCTAACTCTGTAAATAAAAAAATAAATTTTTTTTGGTGTAGTGACCTTAAATAATTTCAAATGTAAACATTTCTATTTACTGCAGTGTCCCGGTGAGGGTTCCGGAGCGCCATTTTGGAGAATAAAGAACAGACTGCCCGCCAACAATTGTAGGAGGCAACTAATTAGGGATGTTTCCTTCCAGATCAGTGTGCACCTGCCTGAGAGACAAGGAACAAACAGTCTGCATACAAATAAGCCAGACTTGTAAAATGAATATGCACGCAAAACTCAAGTTCTGCATCAAGGCCAAAGTTCAGGAGTAGACAAACACCCAGAAGTTTAAACTGAAGTTAACAGCCGGTGAATGCCAAGAAAAAGAAGAATTTATTGCAGTCAACACAAACATGGCCACCGGCATGACTGCCACAGGTGTGATTCCTAATCAAAGCAAATCTGTTAAAACCACCTGGGCCCCCAGGTTGATCCAGTACAAAGAAAGGTACAAGGGATGCAATGGGACATAGAGGTGGCCATCATCTGTCAAGAATGCCGACTGATCTGTAAAAAAACAAAGCTAGCAACAGATGTTCCATACCAACTCAAGGCAAGGAGCTGTAACTTTTACTTGTGTTAGTCAACATACTAATGTATATGTGTTCAATACAACTCAAGGCAAGAACCTTAACATACACTTGTGTATATTTAACATGCTAATGTTTATGTATTCAATATCAACTCTTTTAGTCCCAAAAAATGCACCATGTGCACTAGATATTAATCATATGCACCGGTCAACGTATTTTGTGTATTTGTACATCTCAAGTTTAGTCAAGCAAACTAAATCAATCCCGCAACACAAGTTACCCACAGTTTGTTGTGTATTTGTACATCTCAAGTTTAGTTAAGCAAACTAAATCAATCCAGCAATACAAGTTACCCACAGTTTGTTGTGTATTGGGACCCTGTGGATGCAGTATACCCATGCTTTTCTTGTCATTGTGATTGCTTTGATGACCTGCTGGGACTGAATGAGTTCAATGCATCAATTCTCCCACTGATGTTTTTAAATGCAGGTTATGCATGTTGTCCCCAGAGAGTCAGTTTTCTGGCTTTTTTGGGTCTTTGATGAAATTACATATTTGGACATTGGCCACTTAGCATGTATAACAGCTTTGGTAATGGTTACACATGCACCGTATGTAGTCATGTGGGTATGATTATATATATATATATATATATCCTAAATAATTTGGAGATATCTGAGCTGGAAAAAACCCAGTTTTTTTGGCATTGTGATGCAACTGTGATGTCATAATATCCTCATAATTACATCATTTTGCTCCATGTGGCATGTTTTTCATGGTCAAAGAGAAGTAAAGCAGTTATTTAATGTTCCATATCCATTTGGTAATTACTACCTTTGATGGAAAGAAAAGAACACCTTTTTGTTTAATTATGAGTTCAATACCCACAAAATATTTTAGTGACTTGGCGGCCACAATGTCGCAGTGGTCACCATGTGTGGCTGTCTGCTCAGTGGTAATAAGTTTGGAACTGGAACTCGTCGCTCGCTGCTAAACATGTGGACACAGCGCTTATGGGAGTGACGTGCGTGCTATGATGTTGATCTTAATTCAACATTCAAATATGGCTGAGTGGATCGGTGTGCAATACCTATCTTCCTTCAATTTGCCCGTGTAGTTTGATCTGTTAATATCTGGCTCCCTTTGTTTTGGTTGAGTTCATAACTTTACTGTATGTGTATTGGTTTTGTGTGCAATCAAGCAGAAAATTTGACTTTTATGATTTAATAAAACAGTATCTGCTACATTATACCCTTGCCTTGCTCTGTGGCTCAGAAGTCAGTGATATTGTTTCATACTCAAAACTATTTTGCAACAAAAAAAATTTGTTTTTTAAATCAACCCAAAAAAAAAACATTTTGGCTGACGGAGAGAGTTAAAAACAAACAGCTCTCGTTGTTAACCCAGTATACTAATCACTATGTTATGATAGGTTCTAAACTGTACTAGGGACATCATCCATTCATATGTACTAACGTCCCAAAATCACTTACAATCAGTGGGTCGCCTATATCCAGTGTGTCCCACATGAATCCAGCTGGGAGGGTCAATGGCTCTTGCCGGATTTCATTAGGTTGTTTATCTACTTCAATCTCCTCATTAACTGTGACATCTTCATCTGAAAGTATCCAGTTACAAAAACAAGTAAGGTACTCCACAGCCATACTGCTAAGCTAAGTTAGGACTGACATCACAGCGCTTAGGACATTCCATATTCCCTTTAGCCCCATATTCAGCAGCCTAGAAGATGCTACAGGGTTGTGAAATGTCCAGAATTGTACTCTGTCATGATCAGAGATTTTAAGAAGTAAGAATAATTCTATTCATTGCTAATCCTCTCTGACCGAGTGAAGTCAGGTCTAGTTTACAAAGATAAACTACAAACATTCATTAACTGGTTCCTCAAAGAAAAGTCATTACTAGATTGCTGCAGACAAGTAAAAAAGATTGTCTAACCTCACATTACATCAAGAACAGACACAAGCATCAACATATTACCAAACTTTGGAACTGGCTGAGTCTCCCAAAACTGGTACTTTTTCTTCTTAGCTTCATCAAAGCTTTTTGGAGCTGCCTGTGGCAAGGACAGCTTCTCTAGGGCAGTCTGAATCTGTGCCAGGTTGGACAGCTTCTACAACAAAGTTTCAAACACAAACTATCTTCAAGTTTTCAAACTACAGCATATAATATTTACGTGTGTATAGGACGCAGTAGTTTAACCAAAAATCATTGTTGAAAGATAGGATGTGGCTTATATTCAAAATAGCATATATGTCATATGTATATCTATTTTCGTACATTTTTCTCATCCACATCGAATTTCTCGCCAACTGCTCGGATTCTATTTCCTTGCACATAATGCACTTTGTGCATCTTAAATTTACATATTAATTTCTTCTTACTCTGCCCATCTGTCACTACTTACAGGTACTACTGTTTCGGCGTTTGTTTGTGGACAAAATTCTAAAAAGAAAAATGTTTACCCCAAAATTATCGTCTCAGAAACTTGATGCAGACTATACATAAGTGTGTGGCTGTTTGCGAAAGTCTCTGGTGTGTACAGAGTTCATGAAGCCAGCGCTTTGTGGAGCATGAGTACACACGGGCATTCATGTTATATTCACGGGTTCTGAGGTAAACATGTGAGCCATTTCAAGTTATGAAATAGAGGTTGCTTGATGTTCATGAGAGAGTGAGATTCACGCACAAATGACTGCAGGTGGGAAAAGTCCAGTGGTAGTCTGAGTGAGTGTTGTGTGCTAGATGCGTTACCACTAGTCAACACACTACCAGGTGTCTAGCAGGTACCCTTCAGTTTCCTCTCTTAGAAATAGAACTCGACGACGATGACACCCTCATACATTTTTATTTAACAGGATACATGACACAAATGCAGAGACGTAGTTATTGATCACAGTTGACATTCGCACATCATCCATTTGTCCTCACTCTCTCTCTCTCTCGATTTGTAGCGGCCTCTCCTTGACTACTACAGCTCCAAGGACTACAGCGTCCCACACTCTGGACGCACCGTACAGCTGAACAGGACGAATTCTCCCATTCCCTGGACCTTGATATTATTTCAGCATATAACATGGCTGACTGGAGACGGACTTTCTTGGCCGTACTCCGAAAACACACCGATGACCGACAGGACTTCTACCATAAGTCCCCTCTAGCACACAGCTCTCGTCGGTACCACTCCCCTTCTGTTCTGTTTCAGTAGTGGTCCTCCTACGTTTCACTATGTCGCCACCCAGAACAGGTACTACTGGAACCTTCTGTCCCCTGGACTTACTTTGCCAGTGGGACCATAACTTCTTCAGTACCGGAACCTCGACACTCACTCAGACCTAAATTCCTGATAGTCATAAGGTATTCTTGTCTGTTAGACTCGCGAGAGATATCACGGACCCAGACTTTGTTTCTGACTTGATTTCTCTCTCTCTCTCTCTTCTCTCTCTTCTCGCTTCTCTCTCGACTGCCCTCTGAGTGGCTACTCAGCCCTCCAATTTATCCCCCTCAAATCCGTGTAGGTGGATGATGTCTACACGAGAGGCACGCTCGTATGGGCGTTCTCGTGAATCATGACACCGTGGGTGTTCCTCTCTCATGTGTATACAGTTTTACCTCTGTCATCTGACATTCTTTTAAAATGCCCAACCATTTTGAACTGTTAGCTCTCATGATGCCAGTGATCAATGGTGATTTCAACAGATTATGTGTTACATTGTTGCTTCTCACTCTCCATTCCCTGCTGTTAGCATCTTTGATGGGTCCAAAGATTTGTCGTAAGACTGTTTTCGAAAACCTGTAATAAGGCCTCATCTCTTTTATTTCTGCTTCAAGTTTCAGAGCCATAAAAAACGACTGCTCCTATCAACGTTTTATATATTTTGATCTTGGTTTTGCGAGACAGACACTTTGACTTTAGCAGATGTTGAAGGGCATAGTATACTTTATTTCTAGATTGTATTCCAGATTGTATTTCTTCTTTCAGAATGTTGGAGCAGTTGCAGTTTGCATCCAAGTACTTATTTATTTCTGTTTGTTTGATTTTCATATTATTGACTTGGATATGGCTGGAGTTTATATTCTTTCCATGTCTAGTTAGTATTCGTACACAATAGTAAACATTTAAAAACATTTTATGTTTTGCATCTTTCAGTCAGTCTGTGGTAACTAATAACTAGAAATGAAAGGAATCCTAAGTATTATAACAAGTAACTAAACTTGGAAGTTGTCACTGACAGTTTATTAATGCAGGAAAGCTGCATTAGCTTTCAACAAAACCAATCGTTCCATGTTGTCAGCATTAAGGCCGTGTATGCAGAAACGGGTGTAAGGTAACTACTATTCGTATTCGGCCCGACCGCAACTATTCGGCCGAATACCGAATAGTCAGTAGGTCCACTATTCGGCCTTGAAGCGAATACGAAGCGAATATTCGGTACAGCCCTAGTTAACACTCCCTCTTTATTTCTACTGTCATCAGCCTGATTCTTTAAGGTTGCATGTCTAGTGCAGTCGCCATCAATTTTGCAGTTTAGGTTCATTGTGTGTGATGTGTGTGTGTATGTTTTTTTTTCTCTGACAGGAATAATATAATTTCAAAAATCCAGAGAGAAAAATCAGAAGACAGTTTCAGTGACTGTTTCACAGACAAACCTCTATATCTGCAGACTGCATGTTGGAAGCATTGCTGTCATCAGCTGCAGTAGCATCAGCTGGTAGCTCTTCTGTCTTGGAGTCCTGGGATCCCTGACTTTCAGAGTCTGCTTCTATACCAGAATGTGACAGCGAGGTATTGTCAGGGACCATCAGCAAAGTGTGCATACGTCCATCGGGAACTTGATTGTCAGAATCACCACTTGACCGCTCCGTATCCTTAGCTTTACGTTTCTTCTTTTTACTCTTCTTCCTTGAGGGGTCAATACTTAAAAAGAGAAAAAAGAGAGAAAAAAAAGGAAGACATTACATGCAGACTGCTGAAACGCAGTGGCTCATTGCCTACTGCATTCACTAAGATAATCAAGGATCCATTTCCCAGCCTTGGGTAGTATCTGGCATCTTGAAATAGTTCAATGTTAAATATATGTTAGTCCCTTTCAGCAGTAAAATAACTTGACCACTAACAATCAGAACTAAGAGTAAATGCACACCCTGATATAATTATCAGTCAGCCAACAATTTTCTAGACTACAGTAGAAATAGCAGTTTTGTTTGTATTTGCTGTTAGAATGCAGCAACATCAAATACCATCAGGGGCACTACATCTCAGAAGATCAGCTACAAGAACAAGAGGACGGCCGTGAAAATTATGGTCTGACAACAATAAAGACTCATCACACCTGCACGGCCACTACAGCCAGCGTGCACTTGTTTGCAAATTATTCCTCCGAATGACAAAACTGGTATATGATGATAATGACGACTGTTCATGCAAAATAAATTACTGGAGACTATATTGTGTTTAGAGGCTTAGTATTACAATCAGGAATAGGAGGAAAACCTTGTGCCTACCTCAAGCAGACAGCTGGCAGCAGTAACAATGTTACTTACATACAGCTCTGGAGATCCACTATTCACCAGTCCAGATATCATGCCTTCTTTAACTAGACCGCTAAGTGCCACAGAATGGGCTTCTTCTTCTTCTTCTCCTACAGCGTTCCAAACACTTGAGATTCATTGCTGGAGATATCACCCGCCTTCCCTCATCTCTCTGGTTGGCTTTCTCTTTCCAGTTGGTGACACCAAAATGTTTGTAGGTCTGCCTGGAGATTATCTCTCCATCATCTTCAACTCCCTTGTGTATACAGTTTCTACCTCTCTGTCATCTGACATTCTCTCAACATGCCCAGCCACATATTGATAAGGACACACATTATGACGGGTACGGTACTAATCAGCATTGTACTTCAAAAACAATGACACACTACACACATCCTCAATTTCCTCATACACCGGCAACAATGAGGATAGTCCGAACACACCACGAACAAAATGTATTTCATAATGAAAGACTGGGATAGACTGGGAAAGTGCAAGGGCGTACCAATTCCAGTTTAGTGCGATTTCATATTCTGAGTACTCAGCTAACACACTTCACTCGCATTGTGATTCTTCAGTGAAGCAGATTCTCTATCAAGTCTGTCCCTTCCCTTCTGGCTGGGACTGAGTCCCAGAAAAATTCATTTACATAACAGAATATCTTACAATAAAACAATGATTTTATTTCAACGTGAAACATATAAATTATCTAGTAATATTATTATAAAGGATGATATCAACGCACTTCTCTTCGTTTGCTTCTTCATCCTCTGCATCAGCCTCTACGGCGCTGGGATCACAATCGGCGTCTGACAGGTCGTTTAGAGAATCTACGTCGGCCATCTTGGGGAGAGTAATGCTAGCAGACGTTGTATGCAGTGTTGCCACTTTTCTTGAACAAAAAACATCCAGAACTGAGTCAAATAATATCTTAAAAAAAACATTTACATATGGGTGGTAAACATCTAGAAAAAACATCCAAATGGAAAGAGTCACAAATTACATAGCTATTGATATGACTTGCTCTATAGAATCATCACCCCATCTTCACCGATGTCTGCCTCACACGTTCCACAGGATAAGCTTAGCCTGGATGATGAAGTTGAAGTTAATTCTCTGCTAACAGTCCTTTTGTTTTTATATCATCAATTTTGATTCGATTTGATATCCAAGGAATGACTTAGGAGCCAAATAGCTCTCTATAGTGCAAGTGAGCAAATCAGCTTTAGAAGTTGGCAACACCAGTCTTTTACCAACTGAATGAAATCGCAAAGTGAGATCGTCAAGTAATTTAACTTTATCAACATGTTTAGATTCTAACAGTTTATTGACTTTTTGCACTTCCATTAGAAAAGGTTGTAAAAAGAGAAGGAATGCCAAATTTTATCCATCACTGTACATTCCATATAATATTTCAGCTGTGTAGCACTTTTCACTTTGTCTTGTTATTTCAAAGTGTGTCTTAAAAATTTTGATTATTATCTTAAAAAGCGACATTTTTGTATTTTTTCAACATACCTAAATTTTAATATTCTAAAAAAAAAAATTTAGAAACATCTTTGAAGTAAATAAAACTAGACCTGACCCACCAGAATCCCCGACAGAGAAGGTGATACTGACAGTGCCCTTGATCTCACGCTGGTCTCTCCCAGTATGAGTGCACTCTGCCAGTGGGGCATACTGGGACATCATGGAAGCGACCACCTTCCATGTTGGATTCTGGTCAAACAAACAATCTGTACAAGGTATCAGAGACCAGCCACTACTTTCCAGTACGCTGCACATCAGCCTAATGTAATTGGGCGTCTGCGAGACAGGTCACGCAGAACACCGGGAAAGAAGAAAGCTATCTTTCAACAGCCCCCGTGGTGGACACCTGAAGTCGCAGAAGCCTGGACAGAGAAACGAGGTGCCACCAAAGACTGGGAAAAATGCAGAAAGTTTTCGAATTTTACTGAGGAGCTGAAACAAGACATTAAACACAAAAAAGACCTACTCACTGAACATTTTAAACAACTCGCTAAGGAGTCTAAGCACACAATATGGGAACATTTTTGCGAGGAAATAGGTTATGAAAAATCACTTAAAAAATTCTGGCGGCTTCACCAAAAGATGAGCGGAGGCAAACAAACCTCTGTTATGCCCGAGCTAAAGATGGACAACAGGGTGGTGTTACAATCGGATAAAGACAAGGGCGAGGCTATCCTGCACAGATTTCTTCTGCAGACGGAAAAGAAAGATAGGGAAGAGAGGGAACAGATTAGACAGAGTTTATATGATATCCAGATGGCTGAAATGGAGGAAGTCGATGATACAGTATACATCTCAACTGACTGCATCAGAGCAACACTGAAGACCTGTCCGGACACAGCTCCAGGGCCTGATGGCATTAGATACAGCCACTTCAAAAGCCTCGAGGCGACAGGTATTGATGAACTATCCACGATTTTTAACAACACCATGAAAACTGGCATTATTCCTGATGACTGGCTCCACAGCTACCTCAGTCCGGTTCCTAAGCCAGGAAAAGACCACACGAGAATAAATGGCTACAGAATCATCACACTCCAGAACACTGTAAGAAAACTCATGGAAAAAATCGTTGCCAGAACGTTAACCCAAATATTGGAGTCGGATGGCCTATTCCCCGCTACACTAGGTGGCTACCGACCAGGAAGAGATACATGGTGCAATGCTGCAGTATTTGCCTACGACACATATGAGGGTTTCCAGGAGGGAATAGAAACGGCTGCAGCCGCTATTGACTTAGAAGATGCGTACAACAGCGTCCCATACAACATGCTCATCAGACTGCTGTTGGATATGCAGATAGAAACAAATTTGGTCAACTGGATCGCAGCAGCGCTATTTGAAAGAACAGTGTCGCTTCGATGTGGTGAATGGGCATCAGAACCTCAAAGCGTCCTAATAGGTCTGCCCCAGGGATCACCATTGTCGCCTGTTCTCTTCAATGTGTACACAGCAGGAGTCACTAGTGCACAACGCGTAGGCCTAGGCAGAACAATGTCGTATGCAGATGATATCCTTGTTTACCGTCGAGGTAAAACCAGGCAGGAAATTACAACCACACTACAACACGAACTAGACAGACTTAGTGAGTGGTGCCAGGATTCAAGAGCTCATGTGAACCCGTCCAAAGCCTCCTTAACATGGTTCTCTCTGAATACCCACATCGTGAGTACACCAACGCCAGTCGTAAGCATCTGTGGTGTGGACATCGAGAGAACGGACACCATGAAATACCTGGGCATGACATTTGACAGATGCTTGTCATACAAATGCCACGTAGACAACGTCATACTTAGAGCCAGGAAAGGTTTGACAGCACTCAAGGTGCTAGCAGCAGCTGATATTGAACAACGTCTACTTTTCCTTCTCTATCAAGGGCTTGTGCTTAGCGTCATTGACTATGGTCTTGGCCTCCTCACTGTCAGCAAAAACCCAGCTAGAAAGACTGGACCGAGTACAGAATGAGGCCATGAGACTCATACTCGGCTGCACAAAAGACACCTCCTGCAACGCCATGCGTTATATCCTGGGTCTGCCGACTATGACAAGCAGATACAAAGTGGCACAGGTCAAGGCTTACATGAGGGTATCGGCAGATGTTAACCACCCATTACACAAAGCTATTCACGACACAAAAGGAACGCGTCTCAAAAGGGGCCGCTCTTGGATGGCAAAGGCTGAGGACTTAATCCAGCAGGTATGTGACCTAGACGTGATCAGCCACGGAAAAGAATGGACGAATACGCCAGTAGACATGCATGGCATCTCTAAGGTTGTCATCACACTCGGTAGGTACTGCAGGGATCAAATTCCTGCGGCAGTAGACACAGAAGTAAGGGAACTGATAGATCAGCATTCAGACCCAGAAGATACCATCATCTACACAGATGGATCAATGAAGCGCGGATCAAGGTCAGCATGGGCATACACAGCGCAAAGAAAGGGGAAAACAATACATGAGGACCCCCGTGTGGGTTCCGGGGCCCTATTGTGGGGAAAACAAGAAAAGACCCACTGCCTCCCCAAAAGCATGTCGTAAGAGTCGACTACTTGGGGAGCTTCCTTTGAAGTCGGAGTGCATCTGCCTGAGAGGCAAGGAACCAGCAGTCTACATTCAATTGAATCAGATCTGTAAAACTGATGCACACGCAACACTCAGGTTCTGGAGCAGAACTGCAGTCCAGAAGTGGACGAACAACCAGAACTTTACGCCAGAGTGTACAGCTGGTGAACACGAAGAAGAAGAAGAATACATGAGGACAGCGGCGCTTACCAGACAACCACGTCAAGCATGACAATGGAAATAGCCGCTGCTTCAAGAGCTTTAGCATGGGTATCCGAGCAAACCGCCACACAGGTAGTAATTGTCTCAGACTCAATGAATATGCTTCAGAAGATAGCAACCGGCAGTATGCGCTCTGAATGGATAGCAAGCATCAGGAAATCGCACTTAATCTCCGTAACCTGGATCTACACACCGGGTCATGCGGGCGTGAAGGGAAATGAGCGAGCAGACCAACTGGCCAGCACTGCACTAATGATTGCGGGAAAAAGTATGGACAGAGCAGACATAGTCAACGCTGTACGAACTGGGCTAGTGGAGAATGAGGAATCCCTGACACTAACACGATTGCGTGACATGGGAGTTAAGCATGGTGATGCACGTCTTTGCCGTCTTCGAGGCCGAGAAAGGAGACAATATAACCAGCTTCTCGTGGGGACAATTAGTAGAAGTACTTTAGAGTGGCTTCTGCTTCGGAGAACTGAGCACGCATGGGTATGCCCAATGTGCAGTGACATTAATTGTGATAACAGAACATAAAATAACATCTTAGTAGGGAGTCGGCAGTACGAAACCCAAGTTCAAGGTGTCTCCTTCGTGCCAAAGAACTGCATGGCTGTTGGGTGAACAGTCGTTAACGATGGCAGGCAGGTCGTTGTAGGGGCGACGCCTGCTGGTGGATGTAATGTCCTAAGTCCCTTGCCCAGCTAATAATGAGGGTACTGCTGGGGTGACCGTTTATTAACCCTCATATAATTCTTCCGGTCAAAATGGACGCTAGGTACGGCCACCTTTTTTTTTTTTTTAAAGCCGTGGCAATTTTTTTTTTTCCAGACGGTGGCCGTTGCATTTTTGCTCCATTTGTAGACTGGAAGGATGTAGTTTCGTCGCCCAGCTTCTGAGTTGAGTGCATGGCGTGACACTGTGAGCTGCGTTTGTTTTTCGTTGGCACAGGAGCGGAGCATATGTGGGGTGACCCGTTTGCTATGAAGCTGAAACTAGGATTACCAGATTACCAGATTAACAGATAGGTTTAAAGTTCATAAATTCATCATTTGTTTTTCAATACCTCTGTTTGATTTTTAAATTTTAGCTGTCTAAGTACATGTTGTTTTTTTTTTCATCAAGAAGGCGGCTGGTGCCATGGCAACCATGTTTTTTTTTTTTTTTTTTTTTTGTTTTGTTAACTTGAAGTCTACAAATGAAGCAACATACATCAATACAAATGACCATTATAAAATAATTGGTCTAACATTGTAAGTAAAAAAAAAAAAAAATTGCCTGTAGTGACCCCTTAACTCCAACCATTGGTTCACAATTGTTTCAACAGCTGGTTGCATTGATAACCATCTAGTTCTGCAGTCTGACAGAATTTTCAGTGGTGCGAAATTATCATTTCATGCTTTATGTTGTAATTATTAGCGCATGAGCTTTCACCCTTCGGCCCAAAGCCATGTAGTGGAATTTGCATGTTTTCACAAGCTGTTCTTTTCCTCTTGTTCTTATTGTCTGGTCTCGGAGGGAGTAGCAT